TTTTGGCTAATCCAGTACCCCTGCTCTGTATAATCCGTGCAGCCAATAAATCAAGATATCAGCAACAAGGCATAACTTCGCTAATCTCTGTTGTATAAATGAGGCCTTCTGAACAACCTTTACACATAAATTCGTCATACTCAAAACCACAGCAGCGAAGTACAAATTCTGAAATAAAAATTACACAGTTGTTAATGCATGTGTTCGTTTTAAAAAGACAGTTTAAACCTAACTGCCTGGTATGTTTTCCACAGGGTTAGACCATTTACTGGAAACTGACCAAGTCACGCTGACAGTTCGCCAACGGTTGTTGTAGCAAGTTACACGTAGCTGGAGGAATCAAATACACATTTGCTGTTTACGAAGAATTTTTTCACAGAGAGTAAACAATTATTGATTTCAAGGAGATTTTGAGCCCAGGTCATTAGATAAACGACAAAAGATGATTATGGCGGAAAGATAGAATTTTTATATGTGGGAAGAAAATACGACGTTGTGTTGTGCTTGTCATACAGATACTACTGTTATAAGGCTCTATTGGCCGGTCAGACAGTAAGGGAAGTCAGCTATTAATTTAACAGACTATTACCTGCAACGCAGAATCATGTCGGGAAATGTAATGCTTTCTTTCTTCCTATCACTCCTGATTAAACAAGTTTCTATTTCATATAAAAATGTACTTTATTTCCTATATAAAGGGAAGCAAGTTTCAGAAGAACTTCTGCCTAATTGGCTCTAGTAGTTCGTTCAAATCGTCCTCAGATGCTACGTGACATCAACTACAGCAACAGGTAGTTAGCAAGGCTAAACCAGGCATAAAATGCATGCGGTATTAACGCTCTGCAACGGCAAGCATCGCCAGCTGTGGAACCGATGTTAAGTAAATCAGCCACAAATCAACGTAGCAATTTCAATATTTTGGGCTCCTTGCGGATGTGCTCAAAATCAGGTCAATTGTCGCTGCCAGGTCTTGCGGTGTATGTCGCAGGTATTTGTCTGGCGATTTCGTGAAGTTCATCTTGTGATACCTAAAAGACAATTTGCCCACAAAAAGGACGGTATTTTTTCAGGCATTAAGATGAGGAAGCAGAATGGCCGACTTCCGTTCACAATTACTTGAGGTAAAACTTTTCATAGTGAGTCAGGGCCATTTCTCTGCACATCACATTTAGTTCCCTGGCTACGGAAGGATCAGGGATTGATATATTCTTCTGCGAACTGATAATCGCTTCAAGTTCATGATTGAAAGTCTAAACAAACATAACGAAAATTCGAACATTTCTCCAGTGGCTTACCGAAAACGCAGACT